TGGATAATCACTTAAACATGAATCAGCCGTGTGTGGCACCAGCCAAAAAAACTAATACAATCCTTGTTTGTATAAATAGAGGCATAAAATCAAAATCACATGAAGTATTAGTACCACTTTATAAAGCCTTAGTAAGGTCACCCCTGGAATATTGCATCCAGTTTTACTCACCACATTACACACACACACACACACACACACACACACTCACAAAGGATGTTGAAACTTTGGACAAAGTGCAAAGAAGGTCAACTCAGATGATTAAAGGCCTGGAGACAAGAACATATGAAGAACGGTTGCATTAATTGGTTATGTCAATCTAGGGCAAAGAAGGATGAGGGGTGACGTAATAGCATTATTCTAGTAATTGAGGGGCTGCTACAAAGAAGAGGGGGTCAACTTATTTTCCAAAGCACCAGAAGGTAAGACAAATAACAATGGATGGAAACTAATCAAGTAGAGAAGCAACCTGGAGGAGAAACTTCCTAACAGTGAGAACAATTAACCAGTGAAACAGCAGGCCACCAGAGGTTGTGAGTGCTTCATCACTGGATGCTTTTAAAAAAAACTGGACAGCCACCTATCTGAAATGGTATAGGGCCTCCTGCTTCAGCAGAGGGTTGAACGAAAAGATCTCCAAGGTCCCTTGTAGATCTATTCTGATTGAAACATTTTACCTGCATTTGGGCTGTGACAAAAGAGAAAATTTAGGGCAGCTGAGTCTCCTCAAACAAACACAGGAGGTGAGCTCTTTGCAAGACAAGGTGAGGTGGCATTGCTTGCTCCCACCTGGAGAACTCCAAGCATATTTATTTAAAACCTGTTTTACTGTATACTACCACCTCTTACAATACTAGAGAACACAGTATCAACAGTAGAGACCTTCAAAGTTCTAGGTTCTACCATACCTCACGACCTAAAATAGACACCCAACATCAAAAACGTCATCAAAAAAGCACAACAAAGAAAGTTCTTTCTGCGCCAACTCAGACAGCTCAAACTGTCCAAGGACCTGCTGATAAAGTTCTACAGAGGAATTATTGAGTCTGTCATCTGCACCTCCATAACTGTCTGGTTTGGCTCTGCAACCCAACAAGACAGACACAGACTTCAGAGGATAATTAGAACTGCAGAAAAAACAATGGCTACCAACCTGCCTTCCATTGAGGACCTGTATACTGCATGAGTCAAGAAGAGGGCTGTGAAAATGTTGAGAGACTCCTCACATCCTGGACATAAACTGTTTCAACTCCTACCCTCAAAATGATGCTATAGAACACTGCACACCAGATCAAATAGACACAAGAACAGTTTTTTCCTGAACGCCATCACTCTGCTAAACAAATAATTCCCTCAACAGTGTCAAACTAGTTACTAAGTCTGCATTACTATTAAATTTCTCCTCATTCCTATCACCCATCTCCTCCCACTTATGACTGTATGACTGTAACCTTGTTGCTGGTATCCTTCAGATTTATATTGACTCTTTCCCTATGGCTATGATTAAGTGAGGTACCTTATGATTCTTGACAAAAGTATCTTTTCTTTTATGGACACTGAGGGCCTATGCACCAAGACAAATTTGTTGTGTGTCCAATCACACTTGGCCAGTAAAGAATTCTATTCTATTCTATTCTATTATCTTGGAAGATTTTTGTGGCTTGAAATCCATAGAGGATGTATAAATTACCGTTCTGATAATTGCAAGGAAAAGCAATTGTCTCACCCACTCAGCACTCCATTTTGTTTATGCACCAGAAAGGGAAAAAACACATTTGTTTCTCTTATTATTAATCCAGAGAACAGATGAACTTGAGAATCAAGGGCAAGTGACTTACATGATTTATTTATTTAGCATATGTCTGGTCACACACAATATTTAAACACTTCATTATTACAGGTTAAAACAATTAAAACAATTTTAAAAAAAGCAGTAAGAAACCTAAGAGGAAAACAGAAATAACATTTCACAGTTTAATGTTGAGTTTGGAGATCCAGTCAGTAGCTGTCGTTGTTATGACTGCCGTTGTTACGACAGTCCCTAAAATCTCCTGGATACCTTCTGTTAGAGCATTCCCTCACTATATGTTGGATAGTCTGTTGGGGGGAGGGTGCCCAATCACATTGTGCTGAAGGTGTCTTTCCCCATTTATACAAGGAGTCGGCACACACCTCATGAGTCATTCTAATTCTATTGTATGTCACCCATATGTGTCGGGGAGGCAAAGTTACTTGCGTCTGTGGCAACCCTTAAGCCACATATGCCTCCTGGGTGGTGCTAAATGAGTAACAGATGGACTGGTAGCCAGACATCCGCAAGGATCTCCTGGGCTCACACACAATCCCACGGTCCTTTTAAGGACCTTTTAAGTACCAAAAAAGAATAAAAAATAGCAGAAACAGCAGACTTAAATGAAATTGAGTACCTTCACACAAGGTGGAGTTTGGCCTGTTCCAGCGGTAGTAATTTTTACTACCGGTTCTGTGGGTGCTTGGTGGGCATGGCATGGCTTGGTGGGTGTGGCTTGGTGGGCGTGGCGGGGGAAGATTACTGCAAAATCCCCATTCCCTCCCGATCAGCTGGGACTCGGGAGGCAGAGAATAGATGGGGGCAGGGCCAGTCAGAGGTGGTATTTACCGGTTTTCCGAAGTACTCAAAATTTCTGCTACCGGTTCTCCAGAACTGGTCAGAACCTGCTGAAACCCACCTCTGGCCTGTTCCATCGTTTGGTCAGGTAGTATGAGTGATAATAGGTCATGGTGGCACATGACAGTCAGTTGTACTTTAGTAAGCATGTTTGGATGGAATAGCTGGTTTATTTATCCCCACGTGGCAGGGGATGAAAAGTTTCTTCCCAACTTTTCCAGTGGTTCTTAACAATAGGCAGGAGCATTTCTGAAGATGTTAGTGTTGTGGCCCGTCAGCGGCCAGTGCAGTTAGTAGCTGATTCCGACAGCGAGGAGGCCGGTTTAGTGCTGCGCCAGCAGCCTGTGCAGCTGGCACTCGAGTCAGACAATGAGGAGGCTGGAGGAGATGTGGTGCCAGAGGCAGGGATTCAGCCAGGGCCTTCAGAACCTCCAAAAGCTCCCATAAGTGAAGAGGAAGAAGAGGAGGAGCCTCTTCTCGAAGCACGAGCACACAGAACTGTTAAAAGGCAGGAGTGGCTACTCAGGAGGAGGTCTCCTCGGGAGGAAGGCTTGGGGCTAATTGGCCACTCCCCTAGCCTATTTAAGGAATGACGACGACTGATGTAATTTGCAGGAAACAACTTCGTTCATATTCCTTCGCGTCTTGATTCCAGAAACTTTTGATTCGGCTCTTGTTTCTCTCTTGTTAGTGTTCCTGCAAATTGCTTCTGGGCATTCTGCCAACCACACAGTAAGATTACGGTTATCTGAAATACTCAGAATTGAGTTATTATTCTTTGGATTCTTGTCGGCTGTTAATGAAGTTAAATTAACAGCCCTTGTTCAGAAAAGACTGATTTAAACTGTACTTGTGTTCAAACAACTACTAAGAAAGCTTATTAGTAGTCCTTAATTAGTAAGTTAAGGTTTGTATGGACTTTGTGTCTGCTGTGTTCTTTGGGGTCCGTAGCTGGGGCAGAAAAGTTAGGCTACCCTAAATTCCACAGGAATTTAAAACTAGTTAGAGCTGGAAAAGTTTTTTTGCTGTGCTTTTCGTATGAAGTGGGCTTTCTTCATTGTTGATTGTTGTGGGACATTTACCATCACTCATCATAAAACTCTGGACTAGGTGGGTAAATAGTAGTGTGGAATCAAACAGAGAACCAAAATAATCAAAATAATCAAGTTAATCAAGTGTTCATTAACCAGCATGTGCCAGCAGCACTCATTCTAAACACTGAGAGAGATCCCATCCAACTAAACGCTCATATTTATACATCTAAGAAAGGCAGAGGAGACTAATGCATATGCAACAGAAGGTATAAGCATACATATTCATAGGTCAGTCATTTCGAATATAAGTATTGGAGCTCATCTTACTTCCTCTGCCAGTTTTCCTTCAGAAACCCAAAGTGAGGAATAAATAAAACCAATAAGGCAGGGAGAAAAATCATCTTCCATAAATCAAGAGGAGGAAGTAGAATGCCAGACACCAAAAGTTGTTTTAAAAATCAATTGCACATCCATGGGACTATTGTACTAAGATAATAGTCTGTGGCATCAAATCTCTTCATTTCAATTTAATTGATTGCAGTCAAGTCAGCCATTAAAGGACTCAAATACTTATACTATAATGCTCAAAGTTTCAGGAACAAACAGGGTGAACTTGATGCATTGAAAGGAAGGGGAGAATATAAACAGAATAAAAATATAGAATGCCACATATACAGTGTGTCTTTATGTGTTTGCAATTCCAAAATCAGGCCCCGTAGATCCTTTGTTATGTAAATTACATGAGAAATTTTATAAGGGGAATGATTTTTGGAATACAGTGTATATGAGAAAATAAAATACAAAATAAAATAATTTTGATTTTCTCTTGCTGAAATGGACACAATATAAATGTTTTGTTTGCTAACATTCAGTGAAGATCTCAGGTAGTTCTACCCTTTCCCTTTCCACCAACTTGTATCCCATCTTCATTCATTCATTCATTCATTCATTCACTCACTCATTCATTCCAGTGTCTTATTCAGAATATCCTTAGGGAACATGCTTATCAACATGGATAATGAACACAACCAGCAAAATTTTAAAGACTCTTTGGATTAAAATAAATAAAGTGAGGAACTGTCCTGTTGGGAGTTAATATCCACATGTGATTTCATACAAAATTTTACTTCTATCTTGAATACTGGGGTCTCACTGGATACAACAAGAAAGAATGAAGAATAAAAAGATTGTTGATTGTTCCTAATCAAAAATATTTTGTGATTAGTCACATAAAGTTATTTACAATTATTTAATGGACAACATTTCCTTGTATTTCATGATTTATTTTAGAGATCAGATTGAATACAAAAATATCCCAAAATCACAGTGCCCAATCCCCAGCTAAATCAGCAATTCTTCTGCCTCATGATATTCTCTTTACGATTCAGATGGGGCCTGAATAGGATAATGAAGCATATGGGGAAAAAGATGCAAGCCAAGAGACCAGCCCCAGAGGCCAAGATGGAGAAGATCTCCACGGCCACCATGGACTTCCCTTTGGTGCTCAGGTAGGTGGGGAGGAAGCTGATCCAAACACTGCAGAAAACCAGCATGCTGAAAGTAATGAACTTGGCTTCGTTAAAGCTGTCAGGCAATTTTCTAGCCAGAAAGGCCACTGTGAAACTTATAAGGGCCAGAAAACCCAGATAGGCAAGGACAGCATAAAACATTGAAATTGAACCTTCCTTACATTCTATGATGGTTTCTCTGACTAAGGAATGGAAATCCATGTTGAGAAATGGGGGAGAAGTTGCCAGCCACGTGACACACAAAACTGCTTGGATCAGGGGACAGGCTAAGACAATGGAGTTGGTCAGAGGTTTTCCTAAGAGTTTCCTTGTCTGGTTTCCTGGCTTGGTGGCCATGAAGGCCAGAACCACCATGACAGTTTTTGCCAAGACAGAGGAAACCGCAAGGGAAAAGAGAATGGCAAATGCTGATTGTTGGAAGAGACAGGTGAGCTTCCTGGGTCGACCGATGAAGAGGAAGGAGCAGAGGAAGCAGAGCAGGACGGAGACCAAGAGGATGTAGCTGAGATCTCGGTTGTTGGCCTTGACAATTGGTGTGTCATGATGCTTACGGAAAATCACCAGGATAGCAGTTGTGATCAGAGAACAGAAAAGAGCTAAAGAAGCTAAAACATATCCCAGGAGGTCTTGATAAGCAAGGAAATGCAGCTTCTTGGCAATGCAGTGGACCTTATCCTTGTTGGGGTATCGGTCTTCTGGGCAAGGATCACATTCACCTGCATCTGAAATCAAGAGTCTTTATTTAAGGATTTAAGAGTCATCTGTAATTAGCATTATCCCACCCTCAGAGGTGACATGAGTGTCCCCTTTATGCTATGGTCAACCCCCAAAGGAAGTGATGGAATGACCTACGGTGCATTTCATGGTGGATCAAACAAAGGCTAAGCCTCCTTCTTTATTAATGATGCTATGTTAGTTTAGTCAGAGACATGGATCTATTCATCCCCAGCTGGCCTGGTCAATTTGCTGTGGAAAAAAGGCCCTGTCTATTCACAGGACACTTGCATGACTATAGTAAACCACTTCATACTAGAACTGCAAAAAGACTGATATATCTATCAGCCAGAAATCTTGCTCTCTTTTTTGTGTTTGTGTGTCCATTATGTTATCATGTGTGCTGAAAATGTCCACAAATGCAAGAGAGGAAGACATAAAAAGGTGCATTGAATATCACGGGGGGGAATGTTCTCTATTATTGATCCAAAGTGATTTATAGAGAAATTAGTTACAAGGAGACGGATATAGAATTGGGCACCAAGAATTCTGAAAAGGGAAAGGAGTGATTTAAGGGAAAATCTCTGTATCCTGAAACTTTGAAGCCTATCAGTGCTATGAACAATGATAAAAAGAAATCAATATTTTGATTCACAGAATGGTTCACTGATGCTGGAAGGTGTATATTTGAAGGTCTATATGCTCTACCTGTCAGATCAGAAATGCTCCCATCTGAACAAGGGATACATAGGTAGCAGCAAACCTGTTCACCCTCTGGGACACTTTTCCTCTCTCCTGCCTGGCACCTCTTCATGCCACACCTGGCAAATGGCACCTTCTAAAAAGAAAAGAGAAATGCTTGAGATGACCAAAAAAACTGGACATGCTTCATTTATCCATTTCCACATCACATGTCTATCTTCAAATATGGTTCACCAGGGTCTATCAGAAATCTGGAACAGTTCCTGGGGGATTCAGTTCAGTGACACTAAACAGTATCAGTGCATACTATTAAATTTTTAAAAAATCCATTGCAATAAGCCTCAAATTATTCTGTTTGAGTCCTGTGTTGGATCCTACAATGGAAAAGGTCCTTATAAATCACATTTGCCTGCTCTAATGGCCAACTGGGTTACACAAAGTTCTTCCCAATCATGACACAAATCATATTGCAGATGTCTTACATGCAAAGCACGTTTTCACCAAATGTTATGCTTTCCTGTTTTCTGATTCAGTAGTACTATTTTCTGCATCCCCAGGAGACAATGAATCTTCCAGCTCACCTTTGTAGGCCAAACAATGGCACCGGAGTGAATGGTGACATCCTGACCTGGGGGAGCCCCAGGATTTATTTGCCCAACTTTCAGAAGGACAATTGATCGATTGGGAAGGCGAACCCAATTGAGAAGGTCATAACGAGCAGATCCCAGTCCTTTTTCTGAGAAGGAGACTTCCTCTCCAACACCATTGTTGAACTGGACATTCATCAAGTAAGGAAGAAGCTGAAACAAAAGAGATTTTCAAACATTGGAGTAATTGGTTGAAAGCCACACATGAGACATCATGGCTTCTACTACTGGAGGTTTCAAAGAAGAGATTGGACAACCAGAGGTATGAAATGGTATAGGGCAGGGGTCGGCAACCTTAAACACTCAAAGAGCCATTTGGACCCATTTCCCACAGAAAAGAAAACACCGGGAGCCACAAAACCCTTTTGACATCTAAAATGAAGATAAACACTGCATACATCACTTTTTACCTTTATGCTATGCATTAAAAAAAACTATAGCATGCTGCATTTATGAAATCAACGACTTGCTACAGAGAAAACACATTTTTATTTCTGCATGCAACAAAAACATTTTGAACTCCGAAAAAAAAGATGGACCGAAAAGCTCAATAAATCACGTGCAGCAGGTGTCACACTTTTTTTTTATTAATCATATTTCTATGCCACCCACTCTCCGAGGACTCTGGGCGGCTTACACCAAAGACAGTATACTAAATAGCATATTGTCCCAGCACAATCTGGGTCCTCATTTTACCCACCTCGGAAAGATGGAAGGCTGAGTCAACCTTGAGCCAGTGAGATTTGATCCGCTGATCTGCTGAACTAGCAGTCAGCTGAAGTAGCTGCAGTACTGCACCCTAACCACTGCGCCACCTCGGCTCAACCACATTGGTGGCTGTGACACATATTTTGAGCGACAGGGAGCTGCAGCAGAGGGATGAAAGAGCCACATACGGCTCCATAGCCGCAGGTTGCAGACCTCTGATATAGGGTTTCCTACTTGAGCAGGAAGTTGGAATGAAAATCTCCAAGGTTCTTTCCAACTCTGTTATTCTGTTATGACACTCATTTTAGGAGATAGGAGTATGTTTAACAAGATATAGGGCAGTGTTCCCTTGGTGGCGATCTGAGCAATCAGGAGTAACACTAAACACTGAGCTATTTCCTCAGCACCACAAAGTTCCCCTTTATCATTGGGCATTTGTATCATGGCTTGTTGAACTATAGTTTTACCAGAGTGATATCTACATACAAAGATTTTAATGCCACACTTGAAATTTCCTTGTATGACTTTCCTTCTGTGATACCTGTCCACATATATTTTAAAATTTGTATTTTAAATGCAATGGAACGATTGAATAATTTCTTTCAAAACAATGTAGAACTGGACTGATTCTCTCTATGTGATAGAAAAAAAGACTAGAATGCAAGAATCAGGTCTGATTAAGTGGGTCCATGTGGAAGTGGCTTGTCACATCATTGTGCAGAAATGTCTAACAATTAGGTTTTGATTCAGAAAAGTCTGATGATTTTTAGATCAGGAGCAGGTTGGATTCATACTATATACTGAGAGAAACTGAAATGGTTCTGGAAATTTGCCCCCTAGGACTTCAATTGCCTCTTTGAAGCATCTTGTACCAACACACCCAGATTGTCATCTTGTTCTGGGTTGACACCTCCTCCATGAAACTCAGGCAACCTTTGAAGACCTTTCAGGATGTTATATGAAGATATTTCCTCTGTAGATCTTAGACACAACTGGTTTAAAATTCTTGTCTCTCCCCCACCCCTACCTATTTTCAACCCATTATACTAAACTCAGATTTTCTTTCTTTCTTTTTTTTAAAATAAATTTTATTAGAGCATCAAAAAGAAAAATCAAAAATAAATATATAATAATTTTTCTATCACGGTGTAACATCGCCAAAATATCCATATATATATATATATATATATATATCCGTAATCAGAGAGTAAAAATAGAAAATATTTACAGATTCCTGTATATAAATTTATCTTTCCAATACTTATTGATTGCCATAAATATACAATCATTTATAATTATAAACCAACATTATCCTTTGTCTCTCTCCCATTGTTTCTGGGTCCAATCATACCACATATCCAAACTACCATAAAGTCTGAGTCTCTTTTACCCTTGATCAGTTTTGTAAGTCTGTCGGACTCTGCACATTCCATGATTTTATAAACTCAACCCTAAACTCAGTTTTTCTTTCATTTATTGTTGCAATTTGTTCTGAAGTACACCAATATAGTAGCATACAGATATTTCATGAATATTTCAGGTAATACAGGTGGGAAGTTTCCACTCTAAGATCTATGGACTGATTAAAAAGCGACACAGATTACCTGCCAGGATTGAACAATTGATATTCTCTTTCCAAGTCTCATCAGGGCCAGTCGGGATCCAGATCCATGCATAGCATGTAAAGCATGTGCCACAGCATAAATGGCATTGTAGACATTGTAACTTTCACCTGTCATGCTTGATTGAAACATGTAGGTGGGCAGATTCCGTAAATTCTCTTTTCCTGTACAATATTTTTTCCATTTTATAAAATAGTGACCTGGTTTGTGGAACTCACAGTCAAAGACCTTTGCCCACCATAATGGGAGGATCATATCTCCTTGAGGGTTCAAAGGGTCTAAAGAGAAGAGGAAATTGCTGAATTCGGAGATATTTCTGCTGTGGTCCCTAAAATGCAGAGACCCATGCAAATGCTTTAAAGCTCTCCATCTGTCATGAAGATGGCTTGTGTATGGCTTCCAATACGTAGTAAGGATCCAAACTTTTGGACATGGTCTTTGACCAATTAAATAATAGTTCAGAGTTAAAAGAAACATTTCAAAAGTGTCAGGTTCTGCAAAGGAAAGAATAACTTCAACATTAGCCCATATCTTTGAATGTAAGGTGAATTTGAACACTTCTGCATGAGAGAAATCATGTTTCACCATTTGAGTGAAAGCCAGGCAGATCTCCTTCTCCATGAGCATGGGCCTCAGAGTTGAGAGGAAACGTTCTCCGTTCTCATTTTCAGAGACAATAAGCCCAACCCAGTTCCACTGGAAATACAGGAGCATCCGGACTAAACCCAGAAATTGAGGAAAATCCTTGGGATTAATCCGGAAGGAGGAAGGATAAACTCTTCGGTCTCCCTGAATGAACTCAAAGCCAATACTGAGCTGGAAAAAGTGAGAATCTTCTTTAAAAGACAAAAGTAAAGATTGGTGGTGACTTTAGGGGTCCCCGTAGTGTATTTTACTGACCCCGAGATGAGTCATTTTGAGAGATACTGGCAAGCTTTTTCCTTTCTTAGGAAGAGCCAGCAATTAACATATTTTCCCTGCTTGTAACATGTCAGAATCCAAGGAAACAAACCCTAAATTTGGTACAGGGAATAATCTACAGTGAAAGAGCAGCTATATTTCTATGAATAATATTTAGGAAGGAATTTGTCTTGAAATATTATGTATCTCTTAAGGGCTTTATAAAATATCTTGACACCTAAAATATAAAATGTATGCAACTGTGGCACCAATTCTGTAAGTCATATGGTATTCATGTTCAGCCTCCTTTTGGTGTCATCTTGGATTTCTCTGCTTCTGTAGCTTGTCTACTCCATAACTGTATCTGAAGAAGCCCCCTTACCTGTGGGACCTTGAGGATGCTGAAGATGGAGGCCATCGGCATTGAGAATTTGGGGTTGTCACCTCCAATGACAGAGAAGAGAGTGTCCCGCTGGTCACATTTATAGCCTGGAACCATTTGGTCACGTGTGGAGAGCAGAAAGAGGCTGATCAAAGAAACTCTCTTGTTCCAATTGGCATTGTCGTACATGTTGAAGCCCAGGGTGACATTGGGGAGGAGAACCAGATCCTTGTTGATCTCTCTCACTGCAAACACCAGGGCCATGAACAGCTGGTAGTTGTTAGGTGTGGGTCTATAGTGAGAGAAACATTGTGAAATGTTACACCTAAGCTCCTGTGTGATGTCTTCTCTCTTTGTGGGTTTTCCTTGGGAAAGGAAGTCCCAGATATCAATGGGGTTGGGTTTTTTTTAAGATGTATAAAACATGCACTGTTTTATATCCATCTATCATCCCCTACTTCTTCACTTTGCTTCAGTGGTTGCAATCCTTCCCTATTGTAGTTCTAGTAACCTAATCAATTTTGTTCTCTTTGGAGCAGCTTCTTCAGGCCAGGCAACCATTGCAGATCACAAGAGTCCAGTGGGAAATAGCAAATATTTATTGAAGGGCATTATTCCAATTTAAATTTTTTATTAATTTATCCAAGTATAATATTTTTTAAAAATGTGAAAAACTAAAAAAGGGGGAAAGGAAAAAAGATATAAGGTAAAGGGGGAAAAGAAAAGAAAAAGGCACCACCTTCTGACTCTCTATAGCACAGTAGAAAATAACAACATTACAACCACAACTTTTTGTTTTGACACAACAGTGAGGGCCATTTTTCATAAGCACTGCTGGTTCCAAATCTTGTGTTTTTGGCAGTATCCCACACTGGGAAAGTGTGGCTCATTTCCTTGAGTCTTCCATCACCACTTTCTGTCCAAATTCACATTGTAAGTCAACGTCTTCATTAGGCTAGTAAAATTCCTAAGCTGTTGTCCCTCCTCACTCATCATTGTCTTGATGAAGAGTTTTGGAAAGAAAAACTATCTTACTTAATCAGTCTTTAATCAGTTTTATTGAGAAAAGCACAAATATTTGAACTCCAGCAGGAAATTGAAATATCATAAGAAGAAATATTTCTGAGCAATCACCCAGATATTTTTCCTCCAGGTAAAACTTACAAATATGAGAGAGACAACACATATGGGTCTTTGTTAAAATGTAAGTAAAGTTCCCAGTAGAGTCCCAAGTGCAAATTCCCACCAATAATGAGATCACCAGGCCTGTAATAATTTTCCTGGATCTTGTAAGGTTGGGGCAACACAGAAAGGGTTTGCATCCCCTTAGCAATAATTAGAGACAGGAGCCACAGCTGGAGAGGCAGCCCAGTCATTCTTGTCACCTTCCTTCCTAGATCAGAAATCAAGATTGTACAGAAGCTGAACCACAGGCATCACTTTAAATTTTACCAGAGCTTTAACAGGATAAACACAGGAGATGCCACCTGGATAGCTTCAGGACAAATATATCAAATATGCTTTCTCTTACCTTTGTTTGGACTGTGGCAAGGCAAGCTGAAGTGGCTCATTCTGCCCCCAGCTGGAGAACTCCAAGCATATTTTTTTTAAAGCAGGTTTTCTCTCGAAAGATTTTTGTATCTTAAAATCCACTGGGGATACATCAACAATGACTATTCTTCTGATAATTACAGGGGAAAGCAATTGTCCCATCCACTTATCACTCCATTTTGTTTGTGCTCCAGAAAGGGAAAAACATTTTTGTGTGTCTCTTGTTGCTAATCCACAGAGCAGGTGGACTTCAGAGTCAAGGGGAACATTTTTTTTTTAATTTGATTTATATGCCGCCCTTCTCTGGAGACTCAGGGCGGCTTACAATGCGTTAAGCAATAGCCTTCATACTTTTGTATATTTTATACAAAGTCAGCTTATTGCCCCCACAAACTGGGTCCTCATTTCACCTACCTTAGAAAGGATGGAAGGCTGAGTCAACCTTGAACATTGAACATTGGCATTTGACCTACCTGAAAATGAACACCTGCACACAAGGTGGAGTTTGGCCTGTTCCATAGTGTATTCAGGTAGTATGAGTGCTAATGGGTCATGGTGCCACATGACAGTCAGGTGTACTCTTGCGAGTGTGAGTAATCAAACTAATGTTTGGATGGAAAAGCTGGTTTATCTATCCCCGCATGGCAGGGGAAGTAAAGTTAATTCCCAACTTCTCACATAGTTCTTAACAAGAAGTAGGAAGGTTTCTCAAGATGTTAGACTTAGTTAAACTCTACAGGAGTCTTATCTAAAAACTAGTTAGAGCCAGAAATGTTTGTCTGGTGCATTTTTCCTGTGAAGTGGGCATTCTTCATTGTTGACTGTTGTGGGAAAGATGCCACCACTCACCATAAACCTCTTGACCGGGTGGTTTAACAAGAATAGATGCACAGTGTGTAATCAAACAGCAAATAATCAAGTGTTTATTAAACGGGAGGTGCTGGAAGGACTCCGTCCAAATATTTAGAGATCCCACCCAACTAAAGGAAACCCTTATATTTATACATTTAAGAAAGGCTGTGGAGAAGAAGCATGCATATTCTTTGGTCAGGGAATTTGAGTTACTGTAAGTAAGGGATTTAAACTTACTTCTTTTGCCAGTTTTCCTTCAGAAACCCAAAGTGAGGAATAAAACAATAAAATGTAGGGCTGGGAAAAAATCATCTCCCATAAATCAAGAGGAGGAAGCAGAATGCCAGACACCAAAAGTTTTTTAAAAAATCAATTGCATATCCATGGGACTATTGTACTAAGATAAGAGCCTGTGGCATTATGTCTCTATATCTCAGTTTGATTTAATTGATTGCACAAAACGGAGAACTGATTTTTTTTTTTTTTTGCCACATAAGAGATAAACAATTTCAGTGGCCTCTATCTCCAGAGATGCAGTAAGGTTAGTCTCCCCTGAGCTTCAGGAAAGTGAAAAGAGGTCTACATTAAGTACACGAGGGGCTTTTGGAAAAGGATGGGCTGCACCTTACAAGAACCGGGCAAAATATATTCATAAAGCAACTGCCTCAATTGATCAGGAGGTCTCTAAACTAAAAATGAAATGGAAGGTGATAATTTTTTAGGATCTTTAGGACTTAATTCCAAGCACAAACTCCAAGACACCCACCCCTGGTGAACATGATGTATTCAAAGGAAGGGGAGAATATAAACAGAATAGAAATATAGAATGCCACATACAGTATATAGTGTGTCTCAGTGTGCAATTCCAAACTCCAAAGATAATTTGTTATGTAAATTACATGACAAAATTTATAAGGGGAGTGATTTTTGAAAAACAGTGTATACAAGAAAATAAAATACAAAATAAAATAATTTTGATTTTCTCTTGTTGAAATAGGCAAAATATAAATGTTTCGTTTTCTAACATTCGGTTAAGTTTCCAGGCAGTTCTACCGTTTCCCTTTCCACCAACTTGTATCCCATCTGCATTCATTCGTTCATTCATTCATTCATTCATTCATTCATTCATTCATTCATTCCAGTGTCTTATTCAGAACATCCTTAGGGGACATGCTTATCAACATGGATAATGAACACAACAGGCAAAACTTTAAAGACTCTCTGGATTAAAATAAATGAAGTGAGGAACTGTCCTGTTGGGAGTTAATATCCACATGTGATTTCATAGAAAAGTCTACTTCTATCTAGATTACTGGGGTCTCACTGGGTACAACAAGAAAGAATGAAGAATAAAAAGATTGGTGATTGTTACCGATTAACAAATATTTTGTGATTAGTCATATAATGTTATTTCCAATTATTTAATGGACAACATTTCCTTGCATTTCATGATTTATTTTAGAAATCAGATTGAATACCAAAATCACAGCCCCCAATCTCCACCTAAATCAGCAAATTTTTTTGCCTTATTATATTCTCCCTACAATTCAAATTGGGCCTCAATAGGATAATGAAGCATTTGGGGAAAAAGATACAAGCCAAGAGACCAGCCCCAGAAGCCAAGATGGAGAAGATCTCCACGGCCACCATGGACTTCCCTTTGGTGCTCAGGTAGGTGGGGAGGAAGGTGATCCAAACACTGCAAAAGACCAGCATGCTAAAAGTAATGAACTTGGCTTCATTAAAACTGTCAGGCAATTTTCTGGCCGTAAAGGCTACTGTGAAACTCATAAGAGCCAATAAACCAAGGTAGCCAAGGACAGCGTAAAACATTAAAATTGAACCTTCCTTACATTCTATGATGGCCTCTCCTGCCAAAGAATGGAAATCCATGTTGAGAAATGGGGGAGAAGTTGCCAGCCATGTGACACAAAGAACTGCTTGGACAAGGGGACAACCTAAGACAATGGAGTTGGTCAGTGGTTTACCTAAGAGTTTCCTTGCCCTGTTTCCTGGCTTGGTGGCCATGAAGGCCAGAACCACCATGACAGTTTTTGCCAAGACAGAGGAAACTGCAAGGGAAAACAGGATGGCAAAGGCAGTTTGTCGAAACAGACAGGTGAGCTTCCCAGGTTGACCAATGAAAAGGAATGAGCAGAGGAAGCAGAGCAGGAGGGAGACCAGGAGGATGTAGGTGAGATCTCGGTTGTTTGCCTTGACAATTGGTGTGTTGTGATGTTTATGGAAAATCATCAGGATAGCAACAGTGATCAGAAAACAGAAAAGTATTAAAGAAGCTAAAACATAGCCCAGGGTGTCGTGATAGGCAAGGAAGTGGATCTTCTTGGCAATGCAGTGGACCTTATCCTTGTTGGGGTATCGGTCTTCTGAGCAAGGATCACATTCAGCTGCATCTGAAATCAAGAGTCTTTATGTAAGTCATCTGTAATTAGCATTGTCTCATCTTCAGGGATAACAAGACTGTCCTCTTTGTCTTATGGCCAGCCCCCACAGGAACTGATCGAACGAACCACTGTGGATTTCATGGTAGATCCAAAAAGGCCAATCCTTCACTATTAATGATCCATGGATAATTTGCCAGGGACATGGATCTATTCATCTCTACCTGGCCTAGTCAATTTGTTGTGGGAAAAGGTCCTGATTATTTACTGGACACTTCCATGACTATTCTAACTTTCTTTTTTTTTAAAAAAAAATTAAAAGTTTTATCAAGTATTACAACAAGTTTTCCCATCCCTCCTCCCCCCCATCCCTCCTCCACTCATCCCCCATCCCTCATCCCCCCCTCTCCATCCAACCCCCCTCCCCCCACCCCCCCACCCCGGACTTCCCAGAGCAAATACAGGGTATAATATTTAACAAACATAAACTAAAATATGCTAACTTTCTGTAATGTCCAAACTCCCTCTTGCTCTTTAACTCCCCTTTCTTCTAAGAAAACATAATTCAAAAAGAAAATTTTGGTTTCATTCATAGGCTATTTGAAACTTTTTAGTCCGATATTTGTTTTGAATTCATTTCATTTCATTTATTCGAATTTCTATACCGCCCTTCTCCTTTCGGACTCAGGGCGGTGAACAGCCAGATAAAAAACATCTATACAAACATCACAGTTAAAAAATAAAGTTAAAAATAATTTATAAATTTGGCCCATAATTTAAAACTTGTCAATTATAGTCAATCCATCTTCTCTATTCCGATATATATCTTTCATTTGAATGGTCCTTCAAGTATGCCGAAATTTTTGCCATCTCTGCTAAATTCACTATTTTTAACATCCATTCTTCAATAGTAGGTAAGTCTTCCTTCTTCCAATACTGCGCCACCAGAAGTCTGGCTGCTGTTATTAAATTTAAAATCAATTTAGTCTCTATATCCGTACAATCTGTAATTATACCCAACAGAAAGAACTGTGGAGTAAATTTTATCTTCTTCTTGAGAATGTTTTGGATAATCCACCATATTTTTATCCAAAATGCCTTAATTTTTTTACATGTCCACCATATATGATAATACGTAGCATCATCACATTCGCATCTCCAACACTTAGGCTGCAAGCTTGGATACATACAGGCTAGCTTTTTAGGATCTAGATGCCATCTATAAAACATTTTATAAAAATTCTCTCTTAAGTTTTGGGCTTGCATAAACTTTACATTTCTAACCCATATTTTTTCCCACGTTTCCATCATTATTGGTTCTTCAATATTCTGTGCCCATTTTATCATACAGTCCTTAACTAGCTCTGTTTCTGAATCTATTTCTACTAATGCATTATACAACCTTTTTATATGCATTTGACTTTGGTCTCTAATTTGTTTTACCAAATTCTCCTCATTTTGCAAGATACCAACTTTCTAATCTTCTCTCCATCTAGCTTGCAACTGTCCATACTGAAACCATGTTTGAATTATCCTTTCTTCTCTTAATTGATTCAAAGATTTTAGTTGTAGTATACCTCTTTCCTTATTAAGAAGCTCCTTATAAGTAGTCACATCTTGTTTTTGCTCTACACTTATATTCTCTATCGCGTGTCTGGGTATTGCCCACATTGGTAACTTATCGTTTAATTTATACTGATACTTTTTCCAGACACGCAATAAAGCATTCCTTAATATGTGACTTTTAAAAGTCTTATCCACTTTCTTATCATATAATAAATAAGCATGCCAACCATAGACCAAATCATATCCCTCAATATTCAATACTCTTTCTTCTGTTGAATTCATCCAGTCACTAATTGCTGATGGAGCAGCTGCCTCATAATATAATCTTAAATTGGGCATTTTGAGACCTCCTCTTTCACGTATATCCTGCATTATTTTTTGCTTTATTCTCGGTCTCTTTCCTGCCCAAACAAAATTATTAATACCCTTCTGCCATATCTTCAAATTTTCATCTTTTTTAAGTATTGGTGTCATTTGAAAAAGAAATAAAAACTTAGGCAAAACATTCATTTTTACTGCTGCTATTCTTCCCAACAAAGATAATTGTAGTTTTTTTTTCAATTTTCCAACTCTCTCTGTATTTTTTGCCACAATGGATCATAATTATGCTTAAATAATTTCGCATTTGATGTCATGATATAAACCCCTAAATACTTAACTTTTTTTACTATTTCAAATCCTGTTAGTCTTTCTAATTCATCTTTTTGATTTGTAGTCATGTTTTTAGTTATTATCTTCGTTTTCCCTGCATTTATTTTAAATCCAGATACTTGTCCATATTGATTAATTATATCGATTAAATCTACAACTGACTGTAATGGTTGGGTTAAAGTAACAACCACGTCATCTGCGAATGCTCGTAATCTGTAGTCATATTACCTAATTTTAATTCCATTTATTTTATCCGACCCACTTATCTTACTCAACAAAAATTCCAAAGTCAAAATAAACAATAATGGAGACAAGGGACATCCTTGTCTTGTTCCTTTTTCTATGTTAAAAGTATCTGTTAAACTACCATTAATTATTATTTGCGCTGTTTGTTTCTGATATATTGCCTTAATAGATTGTTTAAAATATTCTCCAAACTGCATCTTTTCTATTATTTTCAATAAGAAATGCCAATTCAGTCAATCAAATGCTTTCTCCACATCAAGAAATATTAGCACCGCAGGGATTTGGTTGTTCTTCCCCAAATACTCTAATAGGTTAACAACTTGCCTTACATTGCTCTTCATTTGTCTACCATTTATAAAACCAGTTTGATCCTTATGTATCATTTGTTGCATGACTGTCATTAACTTATTTGCTAGTATTTTTAGCAAAAATCTTGTAATCTGTATTTAAAAGTGATATAGGCCTATAATTTTTTGACTGGGTATGGTTATATTCTATTTTCTCTATAGTCTGTGACTTTTGTTTTTTCTTTAACAGATATGCTAACCATCTCCCTGGTTTGTTAGCATTGCAAAAAATATTGTGTTTAGCATATTGCAAGTTAGTTGCAACCTGATCTGCCATTAACATAATAAATTGCCCTTGCAGTAAGTTAATTGCCTCTTTTATTTTCTTTAAAGATTGGAATAAACTATTTAATTTCAGCCATCTCATCAGCAACATCTCACATTTTATCCTCAAACACCGAAGTAATTTTTTTTTCTGTAACAGAGGCTTGTGTTTTAAGGGCTTCCTGCAACATTTCAAGTGTTAATATTGGTGGTTCCGTTGGAGCAGTGAGGGATTGCAATTTGGACCTTTGAGCTGGCGAGCTCCCAGCACTTTTAACAACAGTCTTTATTTGTTTTGAAGCCATTTTTAATTTCCAATTTAAATTTATTCAGCAACCAGAACAACAGATCCACCAAATCCAAAATTTTTCAATCTTTAAATAATGTCAATCATTTTTTAAGAACACTACTATAGTCTTTTTGACCTTTAATCTTCTTTCTTTCATACTATTCTAACTTTCAGTGTCAGAATTCCTTGACCCCCCCCCCACTTCATAATGGAACTACAAAAAGATTGATATATCTCTCAGCCAAAAATCTTTCTCTCTCTTTTTTTTTTTGTGTGTGTGTACATTATCTTTTCATGTGTCATGTGCTGAGAATGTCCACAATACAACAGAGGAAAACTGTTCTGTCCCCGTCACACACACACACACACACACACACAAACAGACAGCCAGGAGTTAATGAATCAAACAGTCAGGAATTCCTTTAAGATAACAGACTAAGCAGCGAACTGCCTGCCAAGAGATTTTACTCACTAAGGGAGGTTTTTTCTCCTCAGTCCGATATACCAAATTAATTCCACAAAGCAAAGAATTGTCAAAGTCCAGTCTGAAGAAATCCAAAAAGAGATTCTAACAGGGTTCTAGAAACATGATATGACTTCCGAGCTTTTCAATTTGTCTGTCACAAGGCCTGAATAGCCGACACACCCCCTTTTATCCCTTGTGGGGTGTGGTCCAGTGACTCAGCTCAATCTCTGGCCCACCCACACCTCTTTCTCTGCTATGCGCGCTTATCCTTCCGACACTGTCTGGGATCCAGCCAAAACTCATCCCCCTCGCTCTCTATCTGCGGCTTCTCCGAAGTGCCTTGCTACTAGCATATCTCTTGGCCTTCGGAGGAAACCTGAGGCATTGCCAGAGAGGAGGGTCCTGAAGAGGGAGGCCTTGCCAAATTCTCTCCTTCACCTTCTGAGTCCTCTCCCTCTGTTAGGACAGGCTCGAGGGTTGGAGTCACAACAAAGACATAAAAAGGTGCATTGAATATCACGGGAGGGAATGCACTCTTTTCCTGATCCAAAATGATTTATAAAGAAATTGGTTACAAGGAGAAGGATATAGAATTGTGCACCAAGTATTCTGAAAAATGAAAGAGGTTATTTACAGGGAATATCCATTAGTTGTACTCTGAAAGGTAGAAGTATATCAATTCTACAAACAATGATTTAAAAATGTATATATCAGTATTTTGATTTCCAGAACGGTTCACTGATCCTGGAAAGTCTATAGTTGAAATATGGTCTACCTGTCAGGTCAGAAATGCTACTATCTGGACAAGGGGTACATAGATAGCAGCAAACCTGCTCGCCCTCTGGGACACTTTTCCTCTCTCCTGCCTTGCACCTCTTCAGGCCACACCTGGCAAAGGGCCCCTTCTAAAAGAGAAAAGAGAAATGCTTGAGTCGACTGAAACAATGGACATGCTTCATTTATCCACTTCCACATTCTGTGTCCATCTTCAGGAGATGATTCACCAGGGTCTATCAGAAACCATAAGACTGGGTCTTAGAAATAGAAATAGAATTTTTTTTTTAGTAGGACGGGCAGAAGAACAAAGATATTAAGAATTGTTGTGTATGGTAATTTTGTAGGAAAGTGGGTGGAGACAGGCTAGTGTATTGATTGTATAGATTAAGAAAAGGGATGCTTAAGAGATATATTTATGGGAGTGGAGGAAATGGATAGAGTAGAACAAATGTAAAACTAGAATTCATGGGGCAGGCTGCTTTGAAATGTCATATTAATATACACAAAAGATTAAATGTTAAAGTAGGATTTATTATATAGTTTTAAAGTGGATGGTTGTTTTGAAATGTTATATTAATATATAGACATAAGTATGGGGGAGGAGAAAAAAGGGCAGATTATCGATAAATTGGGAGTTATAATAATGTTACTGTGTTAAATTAGAAGCTATTACATAGTGTTATAATGGAATGTTATTTTGAAGTGTATGGTAAGAGAGGAAGTAATAATATTAATAATATTACTAGAAGTAAGGGTCAGTATTTGGAGGAGGGAGTAAGGGGATGGTAAAATATTATATAATCTGTTATGTATTAGGTTTTTATTTTGAAGAAGTCACAGGGGGGAGGGGGGTTGGGGTGGTGAGGGGGGGTTAGGGAGGAAGGGGGGGAAAGGGGGAAAAATTTATAATTGAAAACTTTTTCAATAAAAAAAAAAGAAATAGAAATAGAATAACAGAGATGGAAGGGACCTTGGAGGTCTTCTAGTCCAACCCCCTGCTTAGGCAGGAAACCCTACACCACTTCAGACAAATGGTTATCCAACATCTTCTTAAAAACTTCCAGTGTTGGAGCATTTACTCCTTCTGGAGGCAAGTTTTTCCACTGATTAATTGTTCTAACTGTCAGGAAGTTTCTTCTTAGTTCTAAGTTGCTTGTCTCCTTGATTAGTTTATACCCATTGCCTCTTATCCTACCCTCAGGTACTCTTATTTTCTTTCGGCCCCCCAAAATAAGCACTAAGGCTTATTTTCAAGGGGTGTCTTATTTTTTCCCGATGTATGGGAGGCCCACTTCTGCTTGTTCATGGTGGGGCAGGAGGCCGTGTGGGACATCAGTGCCACCTCTATGGAGCTACCCCACATGTCCCACATCAGTCTACCCCACAGGGCCCCCACAGTCTGGCCATCCATGTCCCAACATCTGCATCACCCCGTGGCCACAGTGCCAGCTCACTGCTCAGCTTCCTACTCCATTGTGGCTGTGAGCAAACAGAAGAAGTGGGCTGGCAGCGACATGGGCTCCTGCTGTAGATGGCCACAAGGCAGGTGTCAGGGCATGGATGGCCTGGCTGCAGGAGCCCTGAGGTAAACTGGTGCTGGGCACATGGGGCAGCTCCATTCCCCTGTGTCGACTTGTGGTCATGGCACAGGTTCTTAAGTAGGGCTTATTTTGGGGGTAGGGCTTATATTAGGAGCAGACATAAAACATGCTAGGGACTGTTGTTCTATGTTCTAAATGTTTATGGATTTGTTATAAGTAAGATCTTAAGCATTTTGCATCCAAAAACAGGGGTTTTTTTGCCCAAAATTATGCTGTCATGTTTCCTGATTCAAGAGTTCTGTTTTCCAGTTAGTATATTCTTCATCCCCAGGAGAGAATGAATCTTTCAGCTCACCTTTGTAGGCCAGATAATTGCATTAGAGTGAATGGTGACATCCTGGCCTGGAGGAGCCTCAGGGTTTATTTGCCCAACTTTCAGAAGGACAACTGATTGATTGGGGAGGTGAACCCAATTGAAAAGGTCATAACGAGCAGATCCCAGTCCATTTTCTGAGAAGGAGATTTCCTCTCCAACATTGTTGTTGAACTGGACATTCATCAAATATGGAAGAATCTGAAACAAAAATGACCTTCAGAAATTGCAATAATTGGCTGAAAGCCAGAGATAAGGCATCATGACTTCTATCATTTGGTGGCTTCTCAGACACAAAACAGATTAGAAAACAAGCACAGAAAACAAACACAGGGTCAATTTAAAAAAAGACTCAAATGCCTATAGACAAATGCACAGTATATGTGGAATAAACATGGTGAACTAGAATTACAAGTCTATGAGGGCAGCTATAATATTGTTGCCATTAAGGAAACTTGGTGGGATGAAACCCATGAATGGAATATACCACTAGAGGGATTTAAATTGTTTAAAACAAACAGACCTAATAAATGAGGAGGTGGAGTTGTGCCATATATAAGAAATAACTACATCTCTATAGTAATACAGAAGAACAATGATGAAAACCATCTTGAAGGCATTCAGGTCAATATAAAAAGCAAAAAGAACAACATTGCCATAGGCCAGCCATGCAACAGAAGAAATAGATCAACGTTTTGCCAGTCAGTTAACTAAGGCATGTAAGAAACGTACCACCATAGTAACGGGGGGACTTTAATAACTCTGACATAAACAGGGAGACAAACTCTGCACCTAGTGGAACATCAAATAGATGCCTCACAAACCTAGCAGTCAACTTTGTCTCCCAAAAGGTAGAGAAGGGATCTAGAAGGTCAGCCATATTGGACTTAATTCTCACTGACAGAGAAGAAACGATAAACGTTGTTGAAGTCACAGGAACCTTGAAAATTCAGCATCATGCAAGCACAAACAATAGAACAAAGTCAAACAAGAATCTTGGATTTAAGAGAGCTGATTTCAATAAACTTAAAGAGAGTTTGAGAAAGATTCCATAGATGAGAATCCTCAAGGGGAAAAAAAGCCAAGAAGCTTGGAAAGGTTTGAAAAGTGAAATTATAAAAGGCTAATCTGGCAGAATTCCAATGTAGAAATAAAGTAAGAGATCTCCAAAAAAACCCAGTATGGCTGCACAAAGAACTTTCTAAAAACTGAAAGACAAAAAGGACAAGTATAAAAATATAACTAAGGCAGAATATCAGCAAATAGCTTGAATCTGCAAAACTGAAACCAGGAAAGCTAAGGCTCAAAATTACAAAAGCCCAAAATAACAAACAAAGATTATTTCCATGTGTAAAATAAAACAAAAAAAACAAAAACAAATAAAAAGTCAAGGAAATGATTAGTCCATTAATGAGAGAAAATGGCAAGGAGATGATGGGCAGCAGGGAGAAGGCAGAATTGCTTCTCATTTTTTGCATCTGTCTTTACACAAAAAGAAAAAACAGTCCAACCTATTAAAAAATACTGTAATAAGCAATAATAAGCAAGAAGATGGTAAGAGAACATCTATCCACTTTAGACAAGTTCAAATCAACAGGATCAAGTTGATTATATCTCGAGATTCAGAAGGAACTGGCAGACGTGAACTTAGAACTTTTGAACCATATCTTTCAAAAATCTTGTAGCACAGTGGAAATACAAGAAGACTGAAAAAAGGCTGATCTTCAAACAAAGGAAAAAATGGATCCAGGAAACAACAGCTGTATCAGCCTGGCCTAAATACCTGGGAAGAGTCTGAAAAAGATAATCAAGCGATGTATCTGCAATAATCTAGAGACAAAGTCATAACCAGAAGGCAAAATGGGTTTGTCAAAAAAAGATCATGCTAGACAAATCGTGTTGCATTCTTTGACAAAGAGATAAAATTACTGGACCAAAGGAATGCTGTGGATATAATTTACTTGGACTTCAATCAGGCATTTGATAAAGTAGACCACAATGTACTACTTGATAAGATAGAAAAATATTTGTTAGAGAGCATCACCACTAGATGGATTCACAACTGGCTGACCAACTGCACTCTGCAGTCTTTAATGGTACTACATCTACATGGAAGGAAGTATGCAGTAGTATTTAATAACTTCATCAATGATGAGGGGATAGAATGAGAACTCATCAAATTTGCAGACAATACCAAGCTGGCATGAATCATCAACACTCCAGAAGTTGGACTCAGAAGGACCTTGGCAGATTTGACCAATGGACTCTATCTAACAAGCTGAAATTTAATGATGAAAAAGTTATGGTTCTACATTTAGGCAAAAAAACCCCAATACACAGATATAGTATATGTGATACTTGGCTGAATAATAGTAATTATTCATCCAAGTATCTGGTTTGATTTTAATTGTTGTGAGCCACCCTGAGTCCTATGGAGATAGGGTGGCATACAAATCAAATTAAATAAATAAACAAATAAATTGCAATCAGGGATCTTGGAGTCCTAGTGGACATTCAGTTAAATATGAGCCAACAGTGTACTATAGCTGCCAAAAAAGCCAACTCACTCCTAGGTTTCATTAACAGAGGGGTAGAATCAAGATCACATGAGGTGTTAATACCATTTTATAATGTCTTGGTAAGAGACCATCCATGGAATATTGCATTCAGTTCTGGTCTTCACAATATAAAAAAGATATTGAGACACTAGAAAAATTGCAGAGAAGTGTAATAAAGATGATTACAGGACTGAACATATGAAAAACAGTTGTACAATTTTGGTATGTCTAATTTACAAAAAAGAAGGGCTAGGGGTGACATGATAGCAGTGTACCAACATCTGAGGGGCTTCCACAAAGGAGAGACGGAAGCCTATTTTTCAAAGCATCTGAAGGCAGGACAAGATGCAATGGATGGAAACTAATCAAGGAGAGAAGCAATTTAGAACCAAGGAGAATTTTCCTGTCAGTTAGAACAATTAAACAATGGAACAACTTGCCTCCAGAAATTGTGGGTTCTCCAACATTGGAGACTTTTAAGAAGAGACTGGACAAACATTTGTCTGAAATGGTATAGGATTTCCTGCTTGAGAAGGGGTTGGACTAGAAAACCTCCAAGGTTCCTTTCAACTGTTATTCTGTGATGGCCATCATCTTAGGAGATAGGTGTATGTCTGACAAGATAGAGTGTATACTACAGGCCACCCAACCAAACAGTTAAATAAGGTATGTTGGAAGCACACCACTATAGTAATGAGGAACTACTAACTACTAACTATTAACTACTCTGACAACAACTGTGAGACAAACTCTGCACCAAGTGGGGGATCAAACAGATTCATAACAAATCTAGAATACAACTAACCAACTCAGGCAAACTTTGAAGACCTTTTAGAATGTTATATGAAGATATTTTCTCTATAGATCTTGAAAATAACTGGTTTTCAGTTGTTCTCTTTTACCCCTCTGTCCCATTTACACCAAACATTATACTGAATTCAGATTTTTTAAAAGATGTTGTTTTGATATGTTCTTCTCTGGTAATATTATACTGCTTACCAGAGCATACAAAACATTTGCTAGACCATGTCTTGAATACAGCTCATCTGTCGGGAACCCGCACTGCATATTGGACATTAATGCAATTGAGCGAGTCCAGAGATATTTCACGAGAGGAGTCCTCCACTCCTCTACTCTCAACAGAATACCTTATGCCACCAGACATGAAATTTTGGGCTTAGACAACTTAGAACTACGCCGCCTTCAGTCTGACCTAAGTGTAGTACATAAAATTATCTGCTACAATGTCCTACCTGTCAATGACTACTTCAGCTTCAAGCACAACAATACATGAAAAAACAATAGATACAAACTTAAGGTAAATTGCTCCAAACTCGATTGCAGAAAATACGACTTCAGTAACAGAGAGGTCAATGCCTAGAATGCACTACCTGACTCTGTGGTTTCATCCCCAAACTCCCCAAACTGTCTACTGTTGACCTCACCCCATTCCTAAGAGGTCTGTAAGAGGGGTGCTTAAGCACACCAGCATACCTACCGTCCCTGTCCTAGTGTCCCCTTTTATTCGTATGTTCTGAAGTACATTGATATGATAGCAAACAGATACTGTATTTAATGAATATTTCAAATAATACATATCTGAAGTTTCCTAATTAAAATCTATGGACTGAATACAAAGTGACAGAGACTACCTGCCATGACTGAACATTGGAGATTCTCTTTCCATGTCTCATCAGGACTGGTCGTAATTCAGATGCAAACTTTGCATGTAAAGCATGTGCCAGAGCATAAATAGCATTGTAGACATTGTAACTTTCACCTGTCATGCTTGTTTGAAACATGTAGGTGGGCAGATTCCATAAATCCTCTTTTCCTGTACAGTATTTTTTCCATTTTATAAAATAGTAGTGCCCTGGTTTATGGAACTCACAGCGAAATATCTTTTCCCACCAGAGTGGGAGGATCATATCTCCTTGAGGGTTCAAAGGGTCTAAAGAGAGGAGGAAATGGCTGAATTCTGAGATATCACCGCTGTGCTCCCTAAAATGCAGAGACCCATGCAAGTGCTTTAAAACTTTCCAAGTATCGTGAAGATGATTTGTATGTGGTTTCCAATAGGATGTTAAAATCCAAACTTTGGGAAATGGAATTTTATCAAATAAGTTCAGAGTCAAAAGAAATGTTTCAACAATGTCAGGTTCTGCAAAAGAAAGAATAACTTCAACATTAGCCCATATCTTCGAATGTAAAGTGAATTTGAACAGTTCCGCATGGGAAAAATCATGTTTCACCATTTGAGTGAAAGCCAGACAGATCTCCTTCTCCATGAGCATGGGCCTCAGAGTTGAGAGGAAACGTTCCCCATTCTCATTTTCAGAGACAATAAACCCAACCCAGTTCCACTGGAAATACTGGAGCATCCGGACTAAACCCACATATTGAGGAAATTCCTTGGGATTAATTCGGAAGGAGGAAGGATAAACTCTTCGGTCTCCCTGAATGAACTCAAAGCCAATGCTGAGCTGAAAAAAGTGAGAATTTTCTTTAAAAGACAGAAGTAAAGATTGGTGGTGACTTTAGGGGTCCCCATAGTGTATTTTATCAACCCGAGATGAGTCGATTTGAGAGATACTGGCAAGCTTTTTCCTTTTTTAGGAAGAGCCAGCAATTAACATATTTTCCCTGCTTGTGACATGTCAGAATCCAAGGAAACAAACCATAAATCTGGTACAGGGAATAATCTGCAGTGAAAGAGCAGCTACATTTCTATGAATAATATTTAGGAAGGAATTTGTCTTGAAATATTACATTATGTATGTATTGCTTCTGTAGCTTGTCTACTCCATAACTGTATCTGAAGAAGCCACCTTACCTGTGGGACCTTGAGGATGCTGAAGATGGAGGCCATCGGCATTGAGAATTGGGGGTTGTCACCTCCAATGACAGAGAAGAGAGTGTCCCGCTGGTCACATTTGTAGCCTGGAACCATTTGGTCACGTGTGGAGAGGAGAAAGAGGCTGATCAAGTAAACTCTCTTGTTCCAATTGGCATTGTCATACATGTTGAAGCCCAAGGTGATGTTGGGGAGGAGAACCAGATCCTTGTTGATCTCTGTCACTGCAAACACCAAAGCCATGAACTGCTGGTAGTTGTTGGGTGTGGGTCTATCGTGAGAGAAACATTGTGAAACATTACCTCAAACCATTTGTGTCCTGATGAAGTTTGCCTTGTCTTCTTTGTGGGGTTTTCTTTGGGGCAGGAAGTCCCAAATATCAATGGGATTATTTTTTTTTAAAGATAGTTCTTGATTAAACTTGGATAGCTTTGTGGGAATGGAGAAAAGCCCATCTATTCATATCATGGACTGTTTTATATCCCTCTATCATCCCCTACTTCTTCACTTTGCTTCAGTGGTTGCAATCCTTCCCTATTGTAGTTCTAGTAACCTAATCAATTTTGTTCTCTTTGGAGCAGCTTCTTCAGGCCAGCCAACCATTGCTGATCACAAGACTTCAGTGGGAAATAGCAAATATTTTTCTGAATTCCAATTTAAAATTTTTATTAGTTTATCCAAGTATATATTTTTTTAAAAAATGTGAAAAACTAAGAAAAGGGGAAAGGAAAAAAGAGTTATAGGGTAAAGGAAGAAGAAAAAAAGGCACCAACTTCCCATTCTGTTTAGCACCGTAGAAGATAACAACATTACAACCACAACTTTTCATTTTGACACAACTGTGAGGGCCATTATTCATAAGCACTGTTGATTCCAAAACTTGTGTTTTTGGCAGTACTCCACACTGGAAAAGTGTTGTTCTTTTCCTTGAGTCTTCCATCACCACTTTCTGTCCAAAATCACATTGTAAGTCAACTTTTTCACTAGTCTAGTAAAATTCCTAAGCTGTTGTCTCTCCTCACTCATCATTGTCTTGATGAAGAGTTTTGGAAAGAAAAAATAGCTTACTTAATCAGTCTTTAATCAGTTTTATTGAGAAAAGCACAAATATTTGAACTCCACCAGGAAACAGACTAGACTAGACTAGACTAGACTAGACTAGACTAGACTAGACTAGACTAGAATAGACTAGACTAGACTAGACTAGACTAGACTAGACTAGAATAGAATAGAATAGAATAGAATAGAATAGAATAGAATAGAATAGAATAGAATAGAATAGAATAGAATAGAATTCTTTATTGGCCAAGTGTGATTGGACACACAAGGAATTTGTCTTAGTGCATATGCTCTCAGTGTACATAAAAGAAAAGATACGTTCATCAAGAATCATAAGGTAAAACACTTAATGATAGTCATAGGGTAAAAATGAGCAATCAGAAAACAATATCAATATAAATCATAAGGATACAAGCAACAAAGATACAGTCATACAGTCATAAGTGGAAGGAGATGGGTGGTGGGAACAATGAGAAGATTAATAGTAGTGCAGACATAGTAAATAGTTTGACAGTGTTGAGGGAATGCAAATTGAAATATCATAAGAAGAAATATTTCTGAGTAATCACCCAGATATTTGTCCTCCGGGTAAAACTTACAAATATGAGAGAGAAAACAGATAGGGGTCTTTGTTAAAATGTAAGTAAAGTTCCCAGTAGAGTCCCAAGTGCAAATTCCCACCAATAATGAGATCACCAGGTCTGTAATAATTTTCCTGGATCTTGTAAGGTTGGGGCAGCACACAAAGAGTTTGCATCCTCTTAGCAATAATTGGAGGCAGGAGCCAGAAGAGCAGCAGCTGGAGAGGCATCCCAGTCATTCTTATCACCTTCCCTCCTAGATCAGAAATCAAGTTTGTGCAGAAGCTGAATTGCAGGCATCACTTTAAATTTTACCAGAGCTTTAACAGGATAAATACCAGACATGCCACCTGGATAGCTTCAGGACAAATATATCAAATATGCGTCCTTTTATGTTTGTTTGGGCTGTACCAAGGCAAGCTGAAGTGGCCTGTTCTGCCCCCAGCTGGGGAACTCGAAGCATATTTTTTTAAAGCAGGTTTTCCCTTGGAAGATTTTTGTATCTTAAAGTCCACTGGGGATACCTCAACAACTACTATTCTTCTGATAATTGCAAGGAAAAGCAATCGTCGCTTATCACTCCATTTTGTTTGTGCTCCAGAAAGGGAAAAACATTTTTGTGTGTCTCTTGTTGCTAATCCACAGAGCAGCTGCACTTGAGAGACAAAATGAAGTGAGTAATTCACTTAAATGTAATGAAGTACCAGCACACAAAGTGGAGTTTGGCCTGCATTGGTTTGTTCAGGTGGTAGGACTGCTCATCGGTCATGGTGGCCCATGACAGTCAGTTGTACTTTAATAAGTGTGACTAATCAAAACCAATGTTTGGACGGAATGGATATATATATATATATATATATATATATATATATATATATATATATATATATATATATATATATATGCTACCAGTTCACTCCGGTTCGAGAGAACTGGTAGTGATAAAAACTACCAGTTTGGGCGAACCGGTAGTAAAAAAAAATGCTTTAAAAAAGTAAAAAAAAAAAAGTTGGTCACACCCACCCAGTCACATGATCCCACCAAGCCACACCCATCAAGCCAGGCCCACAGAACCGGTAGCAAAAATGTTTGCATTTCACCACTGTCCTTAACAATAGGCAGGAAGATTTCTGAAATGGTAGCCCGCCTTAACTCTACAGGAATGTTGTCTAAAAGCTAGTTAGAGCCAGAAATGTTTGTGTGCTGAGTTTTTCTTATGAAGTGGGTTTTCTTCATTCTCGACTGTTGTGCGAAAGATACCATCTGTCATCCCTGCCATCCTCAGGCCACCCAATCCAGCCTTGTTATAAATCCAGGAATCCCCGACCCCCAGGAAGCACTCTGCAGGCCTCCCAAACCCTCTGCGCATCCCGGTTTTGCAAAAAATGGGCCTGTTTTTGGCTAAAACGGAATGCAGTGGTGGGGTTTTGGGAGGCCAAAAATGGCTGTATTCGGTATATAAGACGCACCAACATTTCCACCCTCTTATGGGGGGAAAAAGTGCATCTTATACTCTGTATTTGTACTGTATTTGTAAAAAATAGAAATGGCAAGATACAAATAAATAAACCCCTAAATACATTTTTTGGGGGGGTTACCTTGTTATTTGAATATGTACTTGGTGTTATCAGGCCTTTATTTGACAGGTTGAAATTGTTAGCTAAACAGAGACTTCGGGAGTGGGCAGCATACAAGCAAAGTAAATAGAAAAATATTTCATGATTGTTGAAGAGAAACGCTGTTTGACTGCTAAAAGAAACGGAGGCCAAGGAAATTGGCAGTCCAGAAAGGGAAACATTTCAAGCTTACTCCAGCCAGTCTGACAGGAAGCTTCGTCTATCAGGAATTTATGTTTATTTTGGAGTAGGGCTTGGCTTATGCCTACTAATATCAAGGTGATTTTGAGCAGTTTATGCTGCATCTACAAACAATACAGTAAAGCTTCTAAATACAGTACATGTAGTCCTCGACCTACAACAACAATTGAGTCCAAAATTTCCATTGCTAATCGAAACAGTTGTAAAGTGAGTTTTGCCTCATGTTACGGCTTTTCTTGCCCCAGTTGTTCAGTGAATCATTGCACTGGTTAAGTTAGTAACATGGCTTGAACATGTGACTGAGGTGATGCCCCTATGGTTGTAAGTGTGAAAAATGGTCATATGTCACATTTTCTCAATGCTGTTGTAACTTTGAACAGTCACTCAATGAATTGTTGTAAGTGGTTAGAGCCTTGGTGGTGCAGTGGACTAAAGTGCTGTTTAAGTAGCACTTAGCTGCCAGCTGCCTGCAATTACTGCGAGTTCAAATCACACCAGGCTCAAGGTTGACTCAGCCTTCCATCCATCCGAGGTAGGTAAAATGAGGACCCGGATTGTGGGGGCAATAAGCTGACTTTGTATAAAAAAGAACACCACTTTGGGGGGGGGGTCAAAAGCCCTACTAAGCAGGTTTATACAAAAGTATGAAGGCTATTGCTTAACGCATTGTAAGCCGCCCTGAGTCTCCGGAGAAGGGCGGCATATAAATCGAACCAATAAATAAATAAATAAATAAATAAATAAATAAATAAATAAATAAATAAATAAATAAATAAATAAATAAAAGTCAAGATCCACCAATTAAAAAATAATAATAAAATTAAAAGGTAAAGATGGCAGGAAAACTATTTTTATTTATTTCTTTAATTTATATGCCACCCCTTTCACTATCCCAAGCAACGCTGGACAAACAGATAAAACAGATAAATAAGATCAGGACTGCTGAGTTAATATACAATTGGAGAACCAAGACAATTGAGAATGAGATTTCATCCTCTAAAAGTCCTTTGAAAAATACTTCTGACTTTAACTTGCAGAAATCAAATAATATGAAAGCTGTGAATTTCCAGGAAGAGAAAACAACAGAAAAACAGTGACTATATCTTTCTGCCCCCCTTCCCACACCATAAAATGAGGGGGAACACTACATATTTTCCTGGGAATTGTGAGCCAGGCAGGTCAAATCTGGATGGAGACACCAAAAGTTTGCTACATTTTCATCAACAGAGGGACCCCATGACCCAAAATCAGCTTCTTCAGGAAGTTGAGCATTGGCAAAATGCTGCTGTTCAAATTTATTTATTACCATATTTTTCGGAGTATAAGACACACCTAGCTTTTGGGGAGGAAAACAAGAAAAAAAAATCTGCCTCTGCCTCCCAGCATTCATCAGGTATTCATCTGGTTCGTTCGGCATGGCCCATTCGCTACAGCCCATTTGCCGCGGCCTGTTCACTGCCACCCATTTGCCGCTGCTGCCCGTTTGCTGCCACCGCCCATTCACCACCACCACCTGTTCGCCGCTGGCTCCCATTCGCCGTCGCTGGAGCTCGTTTGCCAAGGCCTGTTCACCGCCGCCTGTTTGTCACCGCTGCAGCGGCCTATTGGCTGCCGCCGTGGCCCATTCTAAAACAGCTGATCAGTGCTGCATCCACCCTCTCCCCACACCGCAATATTCGCTGTATAAGATGCACAGACTTTTCCACCCACTTTTGGGGGGGAGGGAAGTGCATCTTATACTCTGAAAAATATGGTATTTTCTTTATATCCTGCCTTTATTATTTTGATAAAGATATCCTGCTGTATCAGATGAGCTAGTAATGTAAAAGGTGGTAGCTTTGATAATCATCCTAAGGATATCACATAAAGCTCTGAGAATGACATTTTTGGCATGTGGAAAAGCTGCAGATGAATTTTAAATCCCTACAAGGAAAATAAATTCTGATACGAAGAGGAACATATCAAGGGAAAAGAAACATGAAATGCTGTATATACTTTGTGTGTGTTTGTATGTAGTACAAAAGTCAGTCACCATAGGTAATTTATTATATAGACTACATTATATAATTTATAAGGGGAGGGGCTTCCGGTGTATGTCAGGGAATTGCGCAGCCAGTGTCCAAATGGAGTCAGACGGTGACACAAACTTGTCATTTTATATCAATGAACTTATTTTACAACTATATATATGGCAAACTAGATATTCAGGCAAACAGGAGCATCCTGAGGTAAATCATAGAGCACATAAGGCACACAGAAGAAAAAAGCAGAGAAAAAGGGAAATTCTTCCTCCATACCCACAGCAACCAATCACAGCGCAGATTGCCTCACGCAGGACCTGGCGCTCTGATGCCGAACTAATACCCACATATTTAATATTAATGTTTACTGCTGTCTTGATCGCTGGGGCCTCATTGGGGACAATCAACAAAAATCACATTGTTTCCAATTACTTAATGGACAACAATTTTTTAGCATTTCATTTTTTTAAAAAAATCAGTTAAAAACAAAAATGTTCCAAAATCAAAGCTCCCAATATGCACGTAAATCAGAGTTTCTTCTGTCTCATGATATTCTCTTTACGATTCAGATTGGGCCTCAGTAGGATTATGTAGCATTTGGGGAAAAAGATACAAGCCAAGAGACCAGCCCCAGAGGCCAAGATGGAGAAGATCTCCACAGCCACCATAGACTTCCCTTTGGTGCTCAGGTAGGTGGGGAGGAAGGAGATCCAAACACTGCAAAAGACCAGCATGCTAAAAGTAATGAATTTGGCTTCGTTAAAGCTGTCAGGCAATTTCCTAGCTAAAAAGGCCACCGTGAAACTCACAAGGGCCAGAAAACCTAGGTAGGCAAGGACAGCATAAAACATAGAAGTTGAGCCTTCCTTGCATTCTAAGATGATCTCACCAAACAAGGAGTGGAAGTCCAAGTTGAGAAATGGAGGTGAAATTGCCAGCCAAATTGTACAAATAACTGCTTGGACCAGGGGACAGCCTAAGGCAATGGAGTTGGTCAGTGGTTTTCTTAAGAATTTCCTTGTCTTATTTCCTGGCTTGGTGGACATGAAGGCAAGAACCACCATGACCGTTTTTGCCAAGACAGAGGAAACTGCAAGGGAAAAGAGAATGGCAAAAGCAGCTTGTCTGATGAGACAAGTGAGCTTCCTGGGTTGACCAATGAAAAGGAAGGAGCAGAGGAAGCAGAGCAGGAGTGAAGCCAGGAGGATGTAGGTGAGATCTCGGTTGTTGGCCTTGACGATCGGGGTATCATGATGTTTACAGAAAATCACCAGGACTGCAGATGTGGTTACAGAGAGAGAAAGAGCTAGAGAAACTAAAGCATATCCCAGAGGCTCTTGATAGGCAAGGAAGTGGATCCTCTTGGCAACGCAGTGGTCCTTGTGCTTGTTGGGGTATTGGTCGTCTGAGCACGGGTCACAATAAGCTGCATCTGAAATGAAGAGTCTTTATGTAAGGATTTAAGAGTAATCTGCCATGAGCATTATCTCATCTCCAGGGGTGACATGACTGTCCCCTTTGTGCTAGGGCCAACTCTCAAAGAGCATTTCATGGCGGATCAAAAAAGTCCAACCCTCCATTATTAATGATCCAGGGATAGGTTTGCCAGAGACATGGATCTATTCATCTCCAGTTGGCCTAGTCAGTTTGCTCTGGAAAAAGGGCAGCATTCCCATGATCATATGATCAAAATTCAGATGCTTGGCAATTGGCTCATATTTATGACAGTTCCAGTGTCTTGGGGTCATCTTCAACCTTCTGATAAGCAAAGTCAAGGGGGATGCCAAATTCCCTTAACAACCATGTTAACTAACTTAACAGCTTGATTCATTTAATAATTGTGGTAAGGAAGTTTGTAAAATGGGGCAAAACTCATTTAGCAATAGAAGTTTTGGGTTCAATTGTGATTGTCATTCAAGGACTACCAGTACTGCAAATCTGTTGATTCAGATTTGGTGGGGGAGGATTCGCGTATATGGATAAATATACCATTGTACCCTATGACTATCATTAAGTGTTGTACCTTGTGATTCTTGATGAACGTATCTTTTCTTTTATGTACACTGAGAGCGTATGCACCAAGACAAATTCCGTGTGTGTCCAATTACACTTGGCCAATTAAAAAAATTCTATTCTATTCTATTCTATTCTAAGTGGATATCCTCTTCCTCTGACAGATCTATCAATTTCCTGGGAGATTGATAATACTGACAAAAGAAGCATATCCTAAATAAAAAAGGTGAAAGATTGAATGACATATCCCACTCCTTTAGGAAAACATAGTTGCTTGGTTATCCTTATGAAACATAACAATAAGAGTTAAAATGCTGGTTGAGAACTCATAAGTTGTACCCTGAAACTTTGAAGCTTATAAATTCTATGAACAATGATTTTAAAAAAAAATCAATATTTTGATCTACAGAAAGACTTCCTTGATCTTGGAAGGCCCACATTTGAAGTCTGCTCTACCTGTCTGATTAGAAATAGTCCCTCCTGGACAAGAGGTACATAGGTAGCAGCAAATCTGCTCGCCCTCTGGAACTCTTCTCCTCTCTCCTGCATGGCACCTCTTCATGCCACACCTGGCAAAGGGCTTCTTCTAAGAAAGAAAAGAGAAATGCTTGAGATGGCCTTAAGCAATGGACATGCTTCACTTATCCATTTCCATATTCTGTGTCCATCTTCAGAAATAATTCACCAGGGTCTACCATAAACAGAATCAGCTCCTAAGGAATTCAGTTCAGTGGCACTCCTGACTCACCAGTGTATGCTGGAGATTGGAGCACAGACCTTGGCATGCAAAGGAAGTGTCAGGTTCCAATTAATGTACCCATAACAAATCGAACTCTGAGGCATTCCACTTCCTCAAAGAACAAATTTATTTAGATACATCATCTTGGCACAAACTGGTGGAAAGCCAGTACTAAAGGTTCCCATGCTTTCCACCCCACTTAAAGTAAGAGTTTCTCATTTTCCCAAAACAATATGTCACACTGTCCAATCAGGACAAGAGCTGGTTGCTTGGTGACTTCTCTCCTCCTCCTCTGGCCAGCGGGCCATTGGAATGTATCTGACTCATTGGTTAACTAATTGTTGTTTTGGCTGAAGACTCCATCCACCTCTGCTCTCCCCCCTTCAGCTCCAAACTGTGTCAACCTGAATTCATGTGAGAATAACCCATGATAGAAACAACCCACAGCCCAGTCAGATTCAGGCTTGACAGGAAGACGTGACACATTTATGAAACAATGAGGATCTAAGTGAACGTTGAGAAGAAACCAAGTTTCTGGATGAGTTGGATTGTGTTAGCAAAACAGAAACATACTATAGAAGAAATTTGTGATAATTAAGGCAACTGTGAAGAACTTGATTCTCAGTATGATTTATCAATGTTTCTGTTTCCATGTAACTGATGTTTTTTTATTAATACAATATTTTTTATTGAGGGTAGTAATAGTAGAAGGGTTGGGAATTAATTTGAGTTTCACCAATTTTTAATATCTATGAATTACATCTTCTATTACCTGTCCATAGGTACGAATGTGTCGTTTTCTCCATCTCTCTTGAAATGTTTAAATATGAGTGTACCCTGATGGGTTTTTTTTAAAATTAGTACAATATTTTTATTGAGGATAGTAACAGTAGAAGGGTTGGGAATTATTTTGAGTTTTACCAATTTTGAATTGGTAAGTTTGTTTTATTTATTTTATTTTTATTTATTTATTTTGTCAAGCATATATTAGATAACAGATATAGGTATAAACATACACATAAACAACCGAGGTGGTGCAGTGGTTAGAGTGCAGCACTGCAGGCTACTTCATCTGACTGCTAGCTGCAGTTCGGCAGTTCAAATCTCACCGGCTAGCTGGATAGCTCAGCAGACTAATGCATTGTAATTTAACTCCAGCTCTCTGCAATTAGTAAGTTCGAATCTTGCCAGGCTCAAGATTGACTCAGCCTTCCATCCTTTCTAAGGTAGGTGAAATGAGGACCCAGTTTGTGGGGGCAATAAGCTGACTTTGTAAAAATATACAAAAGTATGAAGGCTATTGCTTAACGCATTGTAAGCCGCCCTGAGTCTCCGGAGAAGGGCGGCATATAAATCAAATTTTAAAAAAGAAAAAAAAAACGGCTCAAGGTTGACTCAGCCTTCCATCCTTCCAAAGTGGGTAAAATGAGGATCCAGATTGTTGGGGGCAATATACTGACTCTGTAAACTGTTTAGAGAGGTCTGTAAAAGCACTATGAAGTGGTATATAAGTGCTATTGCTATTGCTATTAATACATGAAATGGATATGAGTAAAAGGGAACATTAGGGCAGGGACAGTAGGCACGCTGGTGCACTTATGCACGCCCCTTATAGACCTCTTAGGAATGTGGTGAGGTCGACAGTAGACCATCTAAGGTTAAAGTTTTGGAGGTTTGGGGAAGAAACTACACAGTCAGGAAGTGTATTCCAGGCATTGACCACTCTGTTACTGAAGTCATATTTCCTGCAATCGAGTTTGCTGCGGTTTACCATGGGTCTGTATCTATTGTATGCTCATGTATTGTTGTGGTTGAAGCTGAAGTAGTCATTGACAGGAAGGACATCGTAGTGGATAATTTTATGAACTACGCTTAGGTCAGACTGAAGGTGGCGTAGTTTTAAATTGTCTAAGCCCAAAATTTCAAGCCTGGTAGTATTCTGTTGTGAACGAAGGAGTGGAGGATTCCTCTTGTGAAATATCTCTGGACTCTCTCAATTGTATTAAATAAATAATTACATTAAATAATTACATTAACATTAGATAAATTTACTATTAAATAAAACAAATCATTGCAGTGAGCCCTGATGATTGGGTTTTGGGTCCTGAGTTGGATTTTACAATGGGAATGGACCTTAGAAATCACTGTTGTCTGCTCTAATGGCCAAATGGGTTACAGAAGTTCTTCCCAATTGTGACACAATTCAAATGTCTTCCATGCAAAGCACATTTTTTCACTAAATATCATGCTTTCATGTTTCCTGATTCAATAGGACTATTTTCCAGTTGGCACATTCTGCATCCCCAGGAGAGAATGAATCTTCCAGCTCACCTTTGTAGACCAGATAATAGCATCAGAGCGAATGGTGACATCCTGGCCTGAGGGAGCCCCAGGATTTATTTGCCCAACTTTCAGAAGGACAATTGATCGATTGGGGAGGCGAACCCAATTGAGAAGGTCATAACAAGCAGATCCCAGTCCTTTTTCTGAGAAAGAGACTTCCTCTCCAGCACTGTTATTGAATTTCACATTCATCAAATAAGGAAGAAGCTGAAACAAAAGTGACCTTCAGAAATTGGAATAATTGGCTGAAAACCATACATAAGGCAACCTGGCTTCTATCATTTTGTGGTTTCTCAGACACAAAACAGATTAGACTAGAATAGAATATCCTCAGATTAGAATATCCTTATATCGCAGCTGTGGTCTCCCTCTGAGGCGCTTTCCCTGCACTGATTCTCCATCCAGGAGATCTTTCGGAATCCGACCATCAGCCATTCTCACCACATGCCCCAGCCAGCATAGACGTCGCTGTTTCAATAGTGTATACATGCTAGAAATTCCAGCACGTTTCAAGACTGCGCTATTTGGAACTTTGTCCTGCCAGGTGATGCCGAGAATACGTCGGAGATAGTGCATATGAAAGGTGTTCAACTTTCGCTCCTGCTGTGTGTAGGGGGTCCAAGACTCACTGCAGTACAAGAGTGTGCTCAAGACGCAGGCTCTATAGACCTGGATCTACTACTACTACTCTGACATCAACTGTCACTCCCATCGTCCTGTGCGCTCCCATAGAGCGGGCCTCCTCAGGGTGCCGTCAGCCAGACAATGTCAGCTGGTGACCCCTAGGGGGAGAGCGTTCTCTGTGGGAGCGCCAACCCTCTGGAATGGGCTGCCCACCGGCCTTAGGACAGCCCCTGACCTCCTCTCCTTCCGCTGCGAATTGAAGACGTGGCTCTTTCATCAAATGGGCTGATCCGTAGGGGTGATTTTAAATAATTTTAATTAATTTTTAATTGGATTTTAATGTTTATGTAATTTTTTGTTCCGTTTTTTTGTAAGCCGCCCTGAGTCCTTGGGGAGAAAAATAAATCAATAAATAAATAAATAAATAAATAAATAAATAAATAAATAAATAAATAAATAAATAAATAAACAAACAAACAAACAAATAACTGGGAGACAAACTCTGCACCAAATGGAAGATCAAACAGATTCCTGATAAACCTAGCAGACAAGTAGGCAACATAGGTAACCTTTGAAGACCTTTCAGGATTCTTTATGAAGATATATTCTCTATAGATTTTACAGATGATTGTTTTGCAGTTCTTCTTTTTTTCCTCTCTTCCTCTTTCCAACCACATATATACTAAATTCAGATTATTTTTTTCAATAATTGCTGTTTTAATACGTTGTGATGCATATTGCAGAATTGTATTACAAGCATACAGAAACTGTATGACACTGTATTTAATGAATATTTCAGATAATACATATAGGAAGCTTCCTCCCTAAAATCTATGAATACAAAGTGACAGAGATTACCTGCCATGACTGAACACTGGAAATCTCCTTTCCAAGCCTCATCCTGGCTAGTATTGATCCAGATTCAAACACTGCATGTAATGCATGTGCCAGAACATAAATGGCATTGTAGACATGGTAACTTTCACCTGACATGCTTGTTTGAAACACGTAGGTGGGCAGATGCTGTAAATTCTCTTTTCCTGTACAGTATTTCTTCCATTTTATAAAATAGTGACCTGGTTTGTAGAACTCACAGCCAAAGATCCTTTCCCACCACAGTGGGAGGATCATATCTCCTTGTGGGTTCAAAGGATCTAAAGACAGGAGGAAATTTCTGAATTCTGAGATATCTCCGCTGTGGTCCCTAAAATGCAGAGACCCATGCAAATGCTTTAAGGCTTTCCATGTATTTTGAAGGTGGTTTATATGTGGTTTCCAATATGAAGTTAAGATCCAAACTTTTGGATGTGGAATTGGACGAAATGCATTAAACTCCAGAGCCAAAAGAAATGTTTGAACAATGTCGGGTTCTCCAAAGGAAAGAATAACTTCAACATTAGCCCATATTTCCAAATATAAAGTGAATTCGTTCACATCCAAAGGAGAAAAATTATGTTTCAGCATTCGAGTGAAGGCCAGGCATATCTCATTCTCCATGAGCATGGGTCTCAGAGTTGAGATGAATCGTACTCCATTCTCACTATCAGAGGCAATAAACCCAACCCAGTTCCACTGGAAATACAGGAGCATCTGGACTAAACCCACAAATTGAGGAAATTCCTTGGGATTAATCCGGAAGGAGGAAGGATAAACTCTTCGGTCTCCCTGAATGTACTCAAAGCCAATACTGAGCTGGAAAAAGGGAGAATCTTCTTTAAAAGACAACAGTAAAGATTGATGGTGACTTTAGGGGTCCCCATAGTGTAGTTTATTGACTGCATCAATCCATTTGAGTCATTTAGAGAGATAAGCTTCTTCCTTTCTTAGGAAGAGCCACCAATCAATATAGTTTCCCTGCTTGTGACATGTCAGAATCCAAGGAAACAAACCCTAAATCTGGTACAGGGAATAAACTGCAATGAAAGAGTGACTCTTTTATGAATTATACTTTAGGAAGGAATTCCTCTTGGAATAGTATATTATGTATCACTTAGGTGTTTTATAAAATATATCTTGAAACAGCAAATATAACAATGAAGCCAACTGTTGCATTAATTCTCTAAGTCACATGCTATTGGTGACCAATCCATTTGGTGTCATCTTCTAGTTTTCTGTTCGCTTCTGTAGTTTACCTCCTCTATAACTATTTCTAAAAGAACCCGCTTACCTGTGGGACCTTGAAGATGCTGAAGATGGAGTCGATCTGCATTGAGAATGTGGGGTCATCACCTCCAATCACAGAGACGAGAGTGTCCTTCTGGTCACATTTATAACCTGGAACTATTTGGTCATGTGTGGAGAGCAGAAAGAGGTTGATCAAGTAAACTCTCTTGTTCCAATTGGCATTGTCATACATGTTGAAGCCCAGAGTGATGTTGGGGAGGAGAACCAGATCCTTGTTGATCTCTGTCACTGCAAACACCAGGGCCATGAACTGCTGGTAATTGTTGGCTGTGGGTCTACAGTGAGAGAAACATTGTGAAACATTACCTCAAAGCATGTGTGTCCTGGTGAAGTTTGCTTTGTCTTCTTTTTTTGTGGGGTTATTTTTGGAGTGGGAAATTCCAAATATTAATGGGGTTTTGATTAAACTTTGTGAGAAAGGAGAAAAGTCTGCCTATTCATGTCATCGTCCATTTTATATCCCTCTGTCATCCCTCACTTCTTCACTTCACCTCAGTGTTTGCAATTCTATCCAATTTCTCTTCTAGTAAACTAAACTAATTTTGTTCTCTTTGGAGCAGCTTCTTCACATCTGGCAACCACTGCTGAGCACAAGACTTCAGTGAGAAACACAGCAAATATTTATTGAGGACAATTATTCTGAAGCACTGCTGAATATAAAATTGATAATAACCGAATATAAAATTTTGCAGTACCCTACACTGGAAAAATGTTGTTCTTTTCCTTGGGTCACGACTTTCTGTCCAAATTAACATTTTAAGTCAACTTCTTCACTAGGTTAGTAAAGTCCCTAAAGTGTTGTCCCTCTTCACTCTTTATGTGGTATATTATCTTCCTGGTGAAGAGTTCTGGAAAGATTTAACCCATTTAATCAGTTTGTCTCTTTTTTGAGAAAAACACAAAGATTTGAACTACACTAGGAAATCGAAACATCATAAGAACAGATATTCTGAAGAAACGGAGCAAACAAACACCTAGATATTTGTCCTCCAGGTAAAACTTACAAATATGGGATAGAAAATGGGTATGGGTCTTTAACAAAGTTTAAGTAAGGGTTCCAATAGTTCCCCAAGTGCAAATTCCCACCAATAATGAGATCCCCGGGCCTGTAATAGTGTTCCTCAATCTTGTAACGTCGTGGCAGCACACAAAGGGTTTGCATCCTCTTAGCAGTTATGGGTGGCAGGAGCCAGAAAAGCAGAAGAAGCAGGAGAGGCAGCCCAGTCATTCTTGTCACCTTCCCTCCTGGATAAAAAAAAAATCAAGATTGGGCAGAAGCTGAATTGCAGGCATCACTTTCAATTTCACCAGAGATTTAACAGGATAAATCCAGGGCATGCCACCTGGATGGATTCAGGGAAAATATATCAAATATGCTTCCTCTTACCTGTATTTCGGATGCAACCAAAGGAAAAATTAAGGATAGCTGAGCCTCTTCAAACCCAGGAGTTAGCTCTTTGCAAGACAAGGTGAGGTGGCATTGCCTGCCCCCACCTGGAGAACTCCAAGCATATTTTTTTTAAAAGCAGGTTTTCTCTTGGAAGATTTTTGTATCTTAAAATCCACTGGGGATACATCAACAACTACTGTTCTTCTGATAATTGCAAGGAAAAGTAATAGTCCCAGCCACTTAGCACTCCATTTTGTTTGTGCACCAGAAAGGAAAAAGAAACACTTTTGTGTCTCTTGCTGCTAATCCACAGAGTAGCTGAACTTCAGAGACAAAATGAAGTGAGTAATTCACTTAAATGAAACACACAAGGGGGAGTTTGACCTGCATTGGTATGTTCAGATAGAGTGAGTGCCAGTGGGGAATGGTGGCACATGGCAGTCGGTTGCAAGTGTGAATAATCAAACCAATGTTTGGATGGAATACCTGGTTTATTTATCCCCCACATCAGAGGTGGGTTTCAGCAGGTTCTGACCAGTTCTGGAGAACCGGTAGTGGAAATTTTGAGTAGTTCGGAGAACCGGTAGTTAAAAATTCTGACTGGCCCCACCCCCATCTATTCTCTGCCTTCCAAGTCCCAGCTGATTGGGAGGAAATGAGGATTTTGCAGTCACCTTCCCCTGGAGTGGGGAGGGAATGGAGATTTTACAGTATCCTTCCCCTGCCACACCCACCAAGCCACACCCACAGAACCAGTAGTAATTTTTTTTGAAACCCACCACTGCCCCACATGGCAGGGGATAAAAACCTAGGTTTCAACTTCTCCAGTGGTTCTTAACAATAGGCAGGAGGGTTTCCCAAGATGTTAGGCTCACTGATCCGTCTTAACAAAAACAGGAGTTCTAAGTTAATGTACAATTGAAAAACCAAGCCAGTTGATTATGAGATTTCATACACCAAAGGTTCTTTGAAATACTTCTGGTTTTAACTTGCAGAAATCAAATAATGTGAAAGTTATGAGTTTCCAGGAGGAGGAAACAACAGAAAAGCAATGCATCTGCATCTGCATCTTTTTCGTTGGGCCTTCAGGTCTGCCACATTCACTACTGTGGGAAACTGGGAGGGGGGATTGTATGGAGCCAGGGTGATATATAGTCATAATAACATTCCTTTCTTAGAAAGTCAAGGTCATCTTGCCCTGCACCTGGATGGTTGGAACTAGGAGGCATCTCCAGTTGGGATGGGGTTGGGATTGGACCATGTGATGGACATGTGGGTGTTGGCTGACAGCATCTCTCTGCCCCCACACCATAAAACTGGGGGACACTACAGCTTCTCCTGGGAACTGTGAGCCAGGCAGGTCAAATCTGTATGGAGACACCAAACGTTTGCTACATTTTCATCAACAGAAGGTCCAGTGACCCAAAATCAGCATCTTCAGGGAGCTGAGCATTGGCAAAATGCTGCTGTTCAAATTTATTTATTACTTTATTTATATCCCGACTTTATTATTTTGATAAAGATATCCTGCTATGTCAGATGAGCCAATAATGTAATAGAGGGTAGCTTTGGTAATAGTCCTGAGGGTATCACATAAGGCTCTGAGAATGACATTTTTGGCATGCGGAGAAGCTGCAGATGAGTTTTAAAACCTTACAAGGAAAATAAATTCTCAATAAATTGGTTAGGGGAATGTATCAAGAGAATAGAAACATGGAATGCCGTATATACTCTCTGTGTGTGTTTATGTGCAGTACGTAGGTAATTTATTATATAAACTACATTATATAATTTATAAGGGGAGGGGTTTGGGATATATGTCAGAGAATTGCGCAGCTGGTGTCCAAATGGAGTCAGAGATGGTGACACAAACTTGTCATTTTATATCAATGAATCTATTTTACAACTATATATACGGCAAAGTAGATAGTCAGGCAAACAGGAGCATCCTGAGGTAAATCTCAGGGGATACAGGACCCACAGAAGAAGAAGGCAGGAAAAAAGGAAAACTCTCCCTCTATACCCACAGCGACCAATCACAATATTTATTTATTTATTTATTTATTTATTTATTTATTTATTTATTTTTATTTATTTATTTATTAATTCAACTTATATACCGCCCTTCTCCCCAGGGGGACTCAGGGCGGTGGACAGCCAAACTTAAAATACATATAGTACAGAAGTTAAGAAAAAACTAAAATGAATTAAATCATCGGCATTTCCAATTTAAAATCCCAGATCTACAAAATCAAAAAGTTCCCAATTTAAAACCCAGAATCAATAAAATCGAAAATTTAAAAACCCCATTAAAACCATTTAAGCTAGGCCAGCTTGTTGGAATAGATAAGTCTTCAGGACCTTTCGGAAAGCGCATAGGTCCGGGATCAGTCGTATTCCAGGAGGTAGCTGGATGCCTCATTCAGGAGCCAGCCGCTTGGTGCCAATCAACCATAACTGTATTCTGGCTCATTGCACAACCCCACTGCTCCAGCTACTAAATTTAAATATCTTAACACCCCTCCAATTTATAGCTGGACAGCATTCAAACCTTGTGTTTCTGTATACCCAATGGCTTTGTCATGAGATCAACTAAATTATCTTCCGCTGGACATAAATTAGGTCTCACTCACTCACACACGTAACCATGGTTTAGTGGGTTTATTAATATTCCCCAGCAATTTGCTTCACCAAAAACCTAAAATTGTCCCAATTAAGTCCAGCAGTCCAATGCTAGTCCACAGAGCAATGGCCAATGAGTCCATAAGGCAATTGAACGTTTCCCAATGCAAATAAAATCAGCGGGCAAAATTAAATCCACAATCCAAGAGGATTCACAAGGGAAGATCCAAGTCAAGGCAGGAATCCCAACAACCAGAAAACAGACAGCTAGGAAATGAACACATTATTCCCAGCATTGTCTCCATCTGTCTGCTAAATTGGCTGCTTGTTTCTCCTTAGTTCTAAGTTGCTTCTCTCCTTGATTAGTTTTCACCCATTGCTTCTGGTTCTACCTTCAGATGCTTTGGAGAATAGTTTGACAGGGGTGAAATCCAGTAGGTTCTGACAGGTTCTGGAGAACCGGTAGTGAAAATTTTGAGTAGTTTGTAGAACTGGCAAATACCACCTCTGGCTGGCCCCAGAGTGTGGTGGGAATGGAGATTTTGCAGTATCCTTCCCCTGGAGTGGGGTGGGAATGGAGATTTTGCAGTATCCTTCCCCTGCCATGCTCACCAAGCCACACCACTCCCACCAAGCCACACCCACAGAACCGGTAGTAAAAAAAATTGGATTTAACCACTGGTTTGTTGTGATTTTTACATGAAACAAAATCAGGATGAAGAAAAAAACAAATTTGCCAGTGTTTCATCAGGAGAGGGACCCCTGACCACAAAAACAGCATTGTTAGGATATGGTTTGAGCCTAACAGTTGTCCAGGCAATATATGTGTACTGTAACTTTAATCTGTAAATGTATTATGTTACTTTAAAAGTATTCATTGTAATGCTGAGTCATGCTGTAATTAGGTAACGACTGGTTGTGAGAGTATTTAAGCAAGGTACTGTAACGTATTCAGTTTGATGATGAGATGATGAAGCTGATATGATAAGCTACCATTGAGAGGAGTTGTTATCTGCTAATCATCGTTTGATGGATCTGCTACCATCGTGGTTTGTGAACCAGAGTGAGTTTGTTATTCTAACCAACTAATGTTTGTTTGGTAAGAAGATATCTGTAACTACTGGACTGATTTAACTGGCAAAGACTTGGAATTTGTTTAAAGACTATGAGACTGTTTTTCTACTATAAAGTAAGCTTTTGATAAACCAGTTTGTATAACTCTTATTCATTGCTCTCAGCAACGTTTCCTTGTGCATTTACTCTGCTGGTTGGTAACACAACAACAATATCCTTAACAAGCATCATCAGGAAGCTGAGCCCTGGCAAAAAGCTGCTGTTCAAATTTATTTATTACTTTGTTTATATTCGGCCTTTATTATTTTGATAAAGGTATCCTGCTATATCAGATGAGCTAATGGAGGAATAACATTTGATAATTGTCCGGAGCATTTCACAGAAACCACTGAGAATAGCATTTTTTTTGGAATCTGGGGAAGCTGCAGATGAGTTTTAAAAGGAAAATAAATTCTCAGAGGAAGGGGAGCATATGGACAGAATCAAAATATAGTATGCCAAAGATACAGGCTGCTTGTGTGTGTATGTGTGCATGAGTGCATGCATGCAGTACCAATGTCAGGCCCTGAATATAATTTGTTATATAAATTACATGATAGAATGTATAAGAGGAGTGACAGGGACTCTGTATATGGGAAAATAAAATACAAAATAAAAGAGAAAATTTTGATTTTCTCTTGCTAAAATGGGCAACATCTAAATGTTTTCTTTGCTAACATTGAGTTAATGTCCCAAATAGTTCTACCTTTTTCCTTTCCTCTAACTTGATCTTTGTATCCCTCATTCATTCATTCATTCATGCATTCATTCATTCATTCCAGCATCTTATTCACAACATGTTTTGAGAACATGATTATCAATATGGATAATGAACCCAACCTGAAAAAAATTGTAAAAACTCTTTGGATTAATATAAATAAACTGAGAATCTGTTCTGCTGGGAATTAATATCGACATATTTAATATTATAGATTGTGTCTATCTTGATTACCGAGGCCTCACTGGAGACAATAAGAAAGAATGAAGGATAAAAGGATGGGTTATTGTTGCTGATTAACAGATATTTTGCGATTAAT